CGTCTGCGCGGGGCCCCGGCTGTGGGGCAGCCACACTCAGACTCTCAGATCGCACCAGGACCGCAGCCTAAGCACACCGGAAGTTGTGTCTGGGAGGCGCTGCGCTGAGTCTTCTGGGTAATGTAGTTCCCTCTGTCCATGGTGCTCAGTGGCCATGAGCACCACAGAGTCAGTCACTTGGGTACCTGCTGTCTGCTGGCCCCATGTTCTGGTTTCCCTCCTTCTAATGGGGACAGACCGAGAAGGTTTGGAAAAATTGCAGCACCCTGATACGACCTTTGTGAGGTTTTATTACAATTTGTGGGATTATCCTCGGTGGATGAGCTACCATTTCTCTTTAACCAAGAGGTTTCTTCTGTTCAAACTGAATCTTGAATAATTTTGATGGTATCCATAGCTTTTCTTCTCCTGTGGAATCAAAAGCAAAAGGCCTTGGCCAATGCAGCACATAGGCTGGTCTCCATTCTGAGGTCAACACATCATTGCAGTCACCGGCTGATTTAACTCAGAGGTTTTTCCTATTGTCCAATGTCTCTCCGCAGCTGCTGTTCCTTTCTCATTAGCATTAAGAAAAGCCATCTCTCTTTGGTGGTCTTGACCACCCTTCCTGTTTATAACACATTTGTTTTAAAGTGCAATTAGATCCCTCAACAACTGTTTGTCCTGTAGAATTCTGTGGTTTATCTGTAATTGGCTTTGTGTTATACTATTCAAACTAGAGACACATGCTGGAGCAATGTCAGTTTTATATGTGCATGTATTCCCACGATGGCCATTACTTCTCATAGGTATGTAATAATTACAGATTTATCCCTTTCAGAGGTCAAAGCAGTTGCCCATTGAAACCTGAAACTGTGTCTGTTGAATTTGCCAAGTTCAATTTCATTGCATAAGTTTAGGGTTACTTCCTGCAGGTAAATGACTGGCTATAGAAGGAACAATTAGGACATGTGTTACCATTTCCTTGGTCATTGCTAAGTGATGGAAAGATAGTTTTTTAAACCTTTGCTATTGAGATGGCATATTTTTATGAAGTTATGAGGCCTCCTTCTTACTTCCTATTAACAACTGATCAATTTCATCATTACAATGTCCTAGAGAACCTGTCAGACCTGTATGGGATCAGATGTGGGTCACAAATATAGGATTATTCTATTCCTGATTGTTTCCTCTGATTGTACAAAAAGAAAGTTAATTCTGTTTCATCAGGAATAAATTCAAGTTTCAATATGTAAGCCAAATCCCTGTGCATATTGAGAGTCAGTAACTATATTGAGGGTTATGTAAATTCCATTCGTACAGTGACAATGGCAGACCATTCTAACCTTTGAAGAGTTATATGGGATTTGAACCACTGTCCTCATATTTTCTACTTTTATTCTCCCTTACCTGATTTGTTGGCATCAGTATAGAACACAGGGACTCCAGAGATTGGTGTTTTCCTTACATTTCACGGAAGGACTCAAATTGTTCATTTCATGAATTTTATAGTCTCACTTTTGCTGT